GAATTCCAGAGAATTTCGCAGCATGTTTGTCACTCGTCTCTACTACGTACTCGTAGATCGAATACGTCTCTCATCTATCTCTGCTCGATTCTCTCTCGTCTCTTCATGTTCTATCTGCATGCAGTCTACGCTGATCATACACTTGTCAGAGAGAGAGAGAGAGTGCTGCTAGTGATCTCTCTCGTCATAGTAGCTCTAAGAAGAGAGGAGTCAGAGCAACAGTCTCGTCTCCACTCTGCATGCTCAGACACCTGCACGTCTCACTCTAGCATGCTCATCTTCTCTCTCACTCTTCTCTCTCTTCTCTCTACTCTCTTTCTGCTGACCTCGGTCTCTCTCTATCCTCTTCTCTGCTCTCTCTCACTCTCATCCTCGTCGTCTAGTAATCAACTCTCTCTTTTCTCAAAAATTCGTCTCGTCGAATCATCACTTTCTTTGTCTGATTCGTATCTTCGCGGTATCGCTTCCTTATTCTCCTTACCTTTCTCGGTCGGTCGCGATAGATCCGCATCACTCCCTCTCTATCTCGAATTATCTCTTCCTGATCTCTCTTCGGAGACTCCATCAGGTCTCATCCTCCTCTCCAGTGTCTCTCGTCGAGATGGATCGAAAAGGATCAAAACGAAGTACCGAATCTATAACTGGAGATGAGAGAGGAAGTAGAGAGCAGAGACACTCAGTCTCTCCATCTCTCTCACTATTCTCTGTGCGTCTATCTTATCTCTATTCGTCTCTCTCTCTCCTCTTCTCGTCTCTCTTTTCCTTCTCTCCTCTCTCTTCTCTCTCTCTCTCTCCTCATTCGTCTCTCTCTCACTCTCTCTCTCTCTCTCTCTCTTAATCTCTACTCAGTACAATCTTCATCCGTCTTTTCTAAACTACTCTATCTCACTCGTCACTAAATCGTACTCTGCTACTCTCATGCGTCATCTCTTCTATCATCTCGTCTTCGTCTTTTCATTAGTCTACATGTCTCTCGTGCCTCTGCTCTCTGCGTCTAAATCATCCATCTCCTCTCTTCTCGGTGCTCCATCTCTATCTCTTATCTGTGTGGCTTTGTCGGCTCAATAACAAATCAATTCTTGTCTACTCTCCTATCTCTTTTTCTCTCGTCTCTCTTCGTCTCTTCTTCTCTTCTCTCTCTCTCTCTTCTCCTCTCGTGAACTTTATATATTCATAATGTCTTCTTCTCATCATCTCTCTGCGTACTCGATCTCATCTTCTCTCAATCTTCACAGGCACGTCTCATATGAGCTATATAAGCTATAATTTAATGAAGAGTAAGATATAGAGATCTTAGTAATAGGACATATCACAGTATATTCCATCATATATACACACTATTATTGACCTTATTCAAGTATTTATACCAGTTTAGTAAGTTATACAACTCATCACGCGACACACACACACGACACCACACTACAGCACCAACCAAACACAACACCCAACACATCAATATTTGCAGTATAATGAGACAAATCTAACTTAAAGAACTATCACACACGCACGAAGCACACACACTGAAAAAAAAACAATACTATATGAAATATCTGATCAGCAACTCTAATAGTGCTTGTTTCCTTGTCCATATTTACGTATCACAGCTAACAACAACAAGTACACAACAGCAGAACGCCTACTACATCAGTTCACACACAATAGATAACTACACCATGCCAAACTAGAGGCACTCACGGAGCACAAGTTATCAAAAATACAGCACACAACAAAACATGATACGGTACCTGTTGTGAGGTATATAATTATATCTATCAGTGGTATCATGAGCTAGTATTACTTATTTGGTATACCGATACATCATGATATTATAGTCCTCTATTAGTGACGTATTATAAAATAATTCGATCAGTATTTTCTTATCTATTGTATTACGTGAAACTTATCCCAGGATATGTTTATTAGCCCAATATGAGAGCTAGTGTTATACTATATAAATTTATATACATCTTACTATACTACTAAGGGCGTTATTACGTACGCCATTTGTAATTTCTATAGCCTCATTGCTATTATTTGTTATGAGCACTATAACTGTGTCACTACTATTTATGATATCTTCCACATAGGCTCGGGTATATCCACTATGTCAGTTATATATTACATATAATCTATGTAATATATACATAGTATAATAATATTGTATATATCATCTATTGGTTTACCACTGTATATTATTATATATCTACCGATTATATTACAATATATACATTACCAGGTAAGGTGTTCTTCAAGATGTATACCCGGGTATACCATATGATATATATCCTAGGCTTATTCTGTATATATATACTTATTATATATAGCTACTTAGTGCATTGCTTGATGATATGATAGTATTATACTACCTCTATGCTAGTAGTTTATTATCACTATATTAGGGTTAGTCTAGTAAACTAGTATTATTTAATATTATTCTAGTATTATTACTATATTATAATGTTATATCTATCTTACTCCTATATATACACCCCTTCTACATATATATCAACATATAATATGTTGACCATAATCATACCTATAATATATATATATATAATAATATATATAATCTATAATACATACTCAACTACTAGTAACTCAATCATACATATATGTACTAATATTATATATATACCTATATATATACCCACACATCATACATATATTTAATACTAATTTAATTTGTATATAACCACTGTACTATCTATAGATCCGCAGCCCCAGTTAGTTTATTGTAATAATCTGATATTAATATATACTTCTATCAATATTCATGATATGTTTGTATGGTATTATAAATCGTCAAACTGTATAAGTCAATATCTACTTATATAGCTATTATTATTCCCTATATTATATATTCTTACACTATTTAATACTAGGTACCTCTTTCTTATGCAAAGGTACCATACTTAAACCTCTACTTTTTACTACCCCTACATCATTCTGCTATTATATACACTCTTGGTGCATAGCTATATAGTAGTGAATTTTCCTAATTATTGATAATATATACTACCTATATATCAATATATTATATATATACTTATACCTAGTATCTATATACGTGTATGCATATGTTACCTACTGTACTATATACAAATATTCTATATATTACTTTGGGTTGATACTAATACTATACTGAGTAATCTGTCCATGCTAGTTATCTTACTGACTGTATTTATCCATATCACACTATACCATGTATATGACTACTCCTGTTATATTTTAATGTTATCCAATTAATACACTATAATCAACCCTTATACTATATGTTAGTTTTTAGCATGTCCCGCGACTGAGCGTTCCTTCTGTTATCAGCTTAAGACGTGTTATATCCATGAGCTCAGTACTACTTTAGCTCCCCTCAGTTACTGTAGGTTAGTACTAATTAGATACAAATATACACTGAGATACACTATCATACTATTTCCTAACATACATTTACATATGCGACAAGCGATTTCGGAGACCCTCTCTGGAGGCAGGTCTTATAGACTCATGTTACACTTCACTAGTGCATTTATTCTCATGCTTCTATCTATTGAAATTTCTGATGTTGAACTTGATCTAGTCTTAATACTCTGTCTCAATCGCCCACTGTGAGCGTGGGTGTAACACCTCGCACCCCTTACTCACGATAGCTAGATAAGGTGAGGTGTCTTTTCATAGAAGCGTCATTATGCCTCCCTAAATTGACACACTTCTTTTGTTGGTAATCGTGGAATCTCAAGTGGTTGATGCTACCGATTTTCGTCAGGTTACTGCTCACAAAGGTGAGAGGTCTTGAGCTCTCCTTCGAGAGGTTCATGTTAATTCTATGTCATATCAATGCGTGTAGTTGGCATTTTTCACTCTTTCAATATATAGTATTATATACTATATTATTATATACAATTCTTCTCTTATGGGGGTATCACTATCTACTAACTACTGGGCGCACTTTAGCTATAATCTCTATATTTTATTATAGCACATCTCGTATGTCATTCTATGTAATACTAACTATCCTGTATAACCACTCCTTCATACACATAGGGCGGTTATTATAGTGTATATTAGTATGTATACCTGCATTATTTGGTCATACTATTGTATATATAGTTTTCTGTCTACTCACAGTGTGTAAGATATATCTACTGGTTTTATTAGTAGCTAGTAGTAATAGTTACTAACAGGTGGGTCCTATGTGCCTACGTACCCTAATAATCAGTCTGATACTTAGTGATGGTTAGTACGTTATATATATATAATTATATCTATACTTATTAATTTACTTAATATAATAATTATATATTTCTATTCTCTCTATTTTGTGTTGTGTTGTGTGTGTTGTGTGTGTGGTGATGTGTGTGTATTAATCTTTAATATCTATTTCATTATCATTGCTATTATTTTATACTATCTTATATATATCTCGTGTGTGAATGTGTGTGATGTTGATGTGATTGTGTGTGTGTGTGTGTGTTTATTGTGTGTGGTGTGTTGTCGTGTGTGGTGGTGTGTGTGTGTGTGTATGTATCAGATTGATGTATTATCGTATATGATAATTATAATACTAATAAAATATATTATCATTAGTATATATAGTATATATGAATATATAGAATATGTATTATTATTATAATTTAAATCTTATATATAAATATATTATTCAATTCTATTTATATCTTATATTATATATTATAATTATTCATATATTATAATATACTTATTACTACATCTCTTATATATAATAATTAAATTTATATTTATAATTTATATAATCTCTATATATAATATTACACTTAATATATATATAATATAATCTAAATATCGTTCGTTGAGAGAGGCCTTATATAAGTATATATTAATTATTTAATATTAATATATTATTATATATATATATATTATTTAATATATTCTATATTATATATATTATATATAATATATTAAAAATATATTATTACACCCATAGTGTAAGGGGAATATTGTTCATTGGTATTCAGGCCAAGATTCAAACACGCGTCTTCATTTCAAAAAAGTCTATTCTTCTAAAGGTACATTTAAAAGCACTTGCATGTGTTGGAGACGAGCATATGGCATTGCTTGATGTTAGATACGACGATATGACAGTATGACGGTATGACGCGCTATGAATGACGGTTTTGAATTCTTGGCGTTTCCTTAGATTTCATAAACACACATTGGTCAAACAAAATATGATGCGAGCTGACAGCATCCTTCCTCGCAAAACAAAGATGTCCCACGACTTGTATGATGCACGATAACTTCCACAAACATACGGGACCATACAAAACGTACAATTTATTTAAATCATAATTCCATTTCAACACTTGTTACATGTCATGTGTTACATCCCGGCCCCAAAATGCACTCCATAATGGATGCATTTACAAAAGAAAAATCATGTAACACCAAGCTGGAGTAAACAAAACTTTAGAATACCTATTACAATTTATGCAAATATATTCCACATTCAAATCAAAAATAACATAATCTATCATAATAGATTAGGGTTTACCTGAAGCTTTATAAGAATCACATACCTTGTTTTCCAAGAAACAAATCCTTGTTACCGGTCTCTCATAAGTACCAGTTCCTGTTCTTACATCAACAGAACGTACTAAATTATCTGTTCCTTTATGAACACCCACTACTAATCCTAAGGGCCACTGATTACGAGGAACACAATCTTGTTTGATAAGAACTAGATCTCCATTTTCTAAATTTCTCTGAGGTTTCATCCATATTTGGCGTTCTTGAAGTCCAGGAAGATATTCTTTAATCCATCGACGCCAAAATACATCAGCCAGGTACTGGACTTGTTTCCAGCGTCTTCTATATTGATCCTTTTCAACAAACTGTCCAGGTGGTAATAAAGGTCCTGAACGCAGCATCAGCATGTGGTTCGGTGTTAGAGGTCTAGCATCTCTTGGGTCCTCGGACAGCTTCGTGATGGGTCGGTTGTTTATGATACCTTCCATTACAGTCATTAACGTTATTATGGCTTCATCATCTAGCACCTGCTGTATGATCATACTTGACAGCACTCTTCGAATGGTCCGTATTTGTCGTTCCCACACTCCACCCATGTGTGATGCAGCTGGTGGATTGAACTTCCAGTCTATTTCTTTTTTCAATAAATGAGCATGAATCTGGTCTTGATTCCATTCCTGGATAGCTTTCTTCAATTCTTGAGGTGCTCCAACAAAGTTTGTGCCATTATCTGACCAGATTTCTTTAGGTTCTCCTCTCCTTGCTATAAATCTTTCTAACGCATGAATGAAACTATCTGTGTCCAATGAAAATGCTACTTCAATGTGTATGGCACGTGTGGCAAAACACGTAAATATACAGCCATACCTCTTCATCTTTCTTTACTAAGAATGGCCCAAAATAGTCCACTCCTACTCTACTGAATGGTGGTTCATAAGCTATAACACAAGATTCAGGAAGGTTTGCCATTTGCTGGTGTACTGTCTTACCAAACATCTTTTTGCAAGTCACACAGGAATACACTACACTTTTCACTAACTTCCTTCCTTTTAAAATCCAGAACTTTCTCCTGATTTCAGCTAATACACGTTCCACTCCAGCATGTCCAGTATTTAAGTGACAGCTTTCAACAATCAATCTTGAAATATGGTGGGCATGTGGAAGAATCACTGGGTGTTTTGCATCTTCTTCAAGTTGAGAATTTGTTAATCTGCCTCCCACTCTCAGCAAATCATCATCTCCTTTGATTGGATTTAGCTTCTTTAACTGTAAAGGTTCCTTTGGGAGAGTCTTCTGTACATACAAAATAATATTTCTCTCTGCTTCCTTGAACTCTTTTACTGTTATAGGTCCCAACCTTGGTTTCCTTTTTAAGAAATGTTTAAGTCTAATGTACCACGCCACAGCTTTCTTCATTTTAAACCACGATGAGTAGTAGTTTAGTAACTTACAAGTATGATCAGCATTACTTTTTATACTGCAAACCACTGGACTTGCCTTCAGTTCTAAGAATTCTTCCAATTCTGAACATCTAAACAGTGGTTGCACAGGCCATTTATGTTCTTCACACTGTAAGAAATTTGGACCATGAACCCACCTATCATTCCTCAGCAAATCTGATGCAGACATTCCACGAGATGCATCATCTCCAGGATTTTCTTCAGAAGGTACATACCTCCACTGACTGACTTCAGTGTGATCAAGAATTTTACCTACTCTGTTGGCTACATATGTTTGGAAACGTTTATCTGAGCTGTTCAAGTACCATAGTACTATTTGACTATCCACCCAGTATACTGATATTTCTAGAGGTATCTCCAATTCTTTAGTTAGAATTTTATCAAGCCTTACAGCTTCTAGAGCTCCAGCTAGTTCTAGTCTTGGGATTGTAGAACCTTTCAGGGGTGCGAGACGTGACTTAGCCATAATCAAGTTAATATATACAGAGTTATCCTCAAGTGTTACTCTCAAGTATGATGCAACACCATACCCATATTCAGAAGCATCTGAAAATGATGAAGTTGAGCCTTTTTTATAGTTAAACTGTTGGATTAAAGCATCTGGGAACCTTAAACCTTTTAATCTCTGGCAAATCAGCTAACCACCGGCCCCATTGTTCCTCCAGTTCTATGGGAAGTGGTTCATCCCAGCCTTTTTGTAGTCTGCACAATTGCTGAAATATTCTCCTAGCCTGTAATATGAATGGACTGACATAGCCTAGAGGGTCAAACACAGTGCTAAGTGTACTGAGCACATTCCTTTTGGTTTGGGTTCTGTTATGCATCACTTGTACATCAAATCCTAAGTAATCAGTATTCACATGCCACAGCATACCTAGAGCTCTCTCCGTGGATTGATCCTCCAAATTCAACTGCAGAGATATCAAAGATTTTCCTCGGTCCTCCTTTGGTATATGCTTCAGCAGTTCTGGTGATGAAGAAATATATTTAGTAAGATGAAATCCCCTTCTATTCAGAAGCTCTTTAACTTGCTTTGCTAAAACTATAGCAGACTCAACACTATTTGCAGACTTCAGGCAGTCGTCCACATAAAAGTTGCGAAGAACTGTGTTCAGTACTTCTGAATACATGTTGCGATACTCTTCAACTACCTTTTGAAGGGCATAATTTGCACAGCTCGGGCTCCATACTCCTCCAAAGATATGAGCTGTCATTCGTAAGGTCTGTAGGGGTTGTGATGTGTTGTTGTTCTCAAACCACAGAAAGCGAAGCGAGTCTCTGTCTTCAGGGGTAACACGCACTTGATGAAACATGGACTCTATATCGGCCATAAATCCCACTGCTCCTTGTCGGAATCTCAACAGAACACCAACAAGTCCATTGGTCAAATCTGGTCCCTGATGCACATGATCATTGAGTGAAGAGCCACCATACTTGGCAGCACAGTCAAAAACAATGCGACACTTTTCTGGTTTCTTTGGATTCAACACAGGGTGTGCGGCAGATACCACACTTTGCCATCATGGCGGTGCAAGTCTTTTTCAGGGACTACTTCTGCATATCCTTTTTTTAACAGTTTGTGGATTTCTTCAGAGTATTTTCTTTTTAGTGTGTCATCCTTGTTAAGGCTTGGTTAATGATATTAACCTCTTCTCGGCTAGGAATTTGTTGTCAGGTAAACTAGGTCGCTGTGCCTTGAATGGTATACTCAATGCATAATGTCCCTCTATCACCTGGAGTGTACTGTTCCATGTGTCAACTGCTTTCTGGTCACTAACTGACCAGCCCTTCTCTTCTGCAAAGCATCCTCTATCTCCCATAGTCTCTTCATATCACCTTCCAATGGTACACTTGCCTGTATCAAATATGAAAAATTAGTCGACTTACCAAAAGGGTTCACTGGTCCATTTATGACCCAGCCTAGTGGTGAGAGCAAGGCAAAAGGTTCTCCCTGTTTACCTCTTTTGACATCGTTGGCAGCAACAAGTCTGAAGAGTCTTGGCCAATCAGTAAGTGCACTTGGTCTGCCTTCACTTCTGGTATATCCAAATCTCTAAGGTGCGGCCACTGCACAACATCCATTTGTGTTGATCTACCTGTGAGATCTATATTCAGACTTGGTCTCACAGTTGCTTCTATGTTGTATTGTAAGTCACTAACCTCGTTCACACTGGAAACAGTCAAAGACACTGCTGTTGTTCCACAGACATTCGGTTCTGTGTAAGTGTGGTTAACTCCAAATTGCGCATAGTTCCTTGGATTCCTAAATGATTGCACAGAAACTCACTGCAGTAAGTAGCGTTACTACCAGGATCAAGCATAGCATAAGTGTCAATGTAGACATCAGAGCCTGGACGCCACACTCTTGCAGGTACAATTGGCATAGCAAGTTTACCTCCACATGTACGAACATAATGGCTGCTCTGATTTGTTGTGATTGATGATGATGTGGTTGATATATTCTGATCTGATACTAGAATTGGATTCCCTGTGTTGTCCACATAACCAACCTGCAGTCTAGTTGGCATATGAAGAAACTTGTTGTTTGAGGCCANATATGTATACACACAAACACACACACACACACACACACACACACATATGTATATCTATCTATCTTTTCCCTCTGCAGGCTTTTCCAAAAAAGAAGAAAAAAAATATATATATAGTTTTGATAAATCTGTTAAGTCAACAAAACCATTTCCGACCTTATGCTGACTCTTCATTAAGATGAAAATTTAAACGTTGCAGAAAATGAATGGGTGAAAATGAATAACTTTTACACGGTTCTTTTAATGAATGGTGTACATATATTACTCTACTCGTCTATAAATTCATTCTTATTCATAACTATAATACGTATCTAACCTAACCTAACCTAACCTATCCTAACCTAACCTAACCTAACCGAACCGAACCTAACCTAACCTAAGCCACATTCACTCTACTTGAAGTCCTTCGTAATATTCGGTTTGGCAAGCAACGTAAAACTGCAATGCTTAGATGGGACAAGGCATAAATACCTGGATAAACACCATGTC